TCTCAGGTAGCTAAGGGTAACCACCCAAGTCATCTGCCAAAGACAGGAAACAGTACTGGGCCCTAACTTCTGGCCCCATCTCCTCTTCCCCACGGTGGCTCTCTTACCCTCATCAGCTTTAACAATCCCAGATTAGTTCATTTCCACACCCCAGAATCAGTCCCAAGTCCTGCATGGCCTCAAAGCCAGTGGCAGGGCTGAGAGGATGCCCCAGGCATCCTGGAATATGGGGGGGGAGGTGTTTGGAAAGCCCAGAATTGTGGTTTGCCACATTATTCTTGGCTTCTCTGAGGCATGCGTTTCATCTGCCAGTTACACCTGACTGCCCCACATGGCAAAGAGGAGAGGCCTAAGGATTAGGCCAGATGCAGATTTGACTGCCTCTTCCTCAGTAACCTGGCAAAATTTCTCAGACGCAGTGGTGCCCCTGGAATTCCCAACAAATGGTCTGCCAGCATCTGCTTGAATGCTTCCAGGGATGGCGTCCTCACTACCTCTGGAGAAAACTGATCCACCTGTGACCCAATGCTCTTTATCACAAATTCTCTTTCCATGTTTAATTCCCTAACTACATTTAAAGTTCTGTGGAGACAAAACTTTAAAAACTCTTGCAAAAATCTTTTAAGTAGAGGCTTGGTGCCTGTAGCACAGTGGTTACGGCATCAGCCATGTACACCCAGGCTGGCGGGTTCAAACCCAGCCCAGGCCAGCTAAACAACAATGACAACTGCAACAACAACAAAAATATAGCTGGGTGTTGTGGCAGGTGCCTGTAGTACCAGCTACTTGGGAGGGTGAGGCAAGAGAATCACTTGGGCCTAGGAGTTTGCTGTCAGCTGTGATGACGGTGACGTAGTGAGACTCTGTCTCTTAAAAAAAAGAATCTTTTAAGTAGAATGTACTTAATACATTCTTGCTGATTGAGATCAAGGTTAAAGAAGGGCTTGGCGCCTGTGGCTCAAGCGGCTAAGGCACAGCCACGTACACCTAAGGTGGCAGGTTCGAATCCAGCCC